GCTGGTCATAGCTGCTACCGGCGCGCAAGTCGTCAGCATCGAGAACTTTCTATTCAATGTTCAATTTGTGGACCCAGAAAAATCAAGGAACAGAATTCGCTATACAAAATCCAAGATAGTAAGAGTGTTTGTGAACCAATAGCGCGTGGGAAATCACTGTCAGTCGGCAATATGGGCCGAGAACAACTTACCGATGAGATGCGTGGCCGCATAAAGGGCATTCGGAAGGCAAATTGGTCGTACCGTGCCATACGCGCGGTTACTGGCAAGTCCGTCGCTGTGATTCCTCGCTGCCTGCGCCAGCAGGGGCGCAGCAAAATCTGCCTGGGAGACCTGTTGCTCTCTCCGAGCGGCAAATCCGACGTTTGGTTCGTGAAGCTTGCAAGACTGGGTCAAACGCCTCAACCTTACACAAGGCCTGCGAACTACATTGCAATGTCCGGACGACTCGACGAGTCCTGCAGCGACGTGATCTACTCGACTACACCAAAATGCAACGTACCTTGCCGCTCACGCCTGCGCACAAGCAGTCTCGTTTCAAGTGGGCCATGCAACATGCCGAAAGTCCCTTCGACTGGTCGTGTGTGGTCTTTTTGGACGAAAAGAAGTTCAACTTAGACGGGCCGGATGGTTACAAGAACTACTGGCATGACATCCGACAACCCAAGCGGTGCTTTGTCACGCGACAACAAGGTGGCGGCTCCGTTATTGTGTGGGGAGCAATTGCGAGTTGCGGCAAAAGTGCTCTTGCTATCCTCACTGGAAAGCAAAATTCAGGTGATTATATATTTACACTGTCCGAGTACATGCTGCCGTTCGCTCACCTAAAGTATGGATCTGACTTTGTCTTTCAACAAGACAATGTACCAATTTAAACCTCTGCGGAGACGAAGCACCGAAACCCCGAAACCCCGAACAGTCCATTGATCTTCTGCCGTGGCCGGCTCGTTCGCCGGATCTCAACCCGATCGAGAACGTTTGGTCCTCGATGTCATGTTTTGTCTACAACAATGGCCGTCAGTACCAGAACGTCTCCGAGTTGCGCGACGCTGTGCTGCTTACTTGGACTATGATCTCAGATGAGGAGGTCAAAACTCTCATTGATTCCATACATCGCCGATGCTTGGAGACGATTCGACGCAATGGTGACAAGACTCATTATTGATTGAGCAACGTATTGGTTTTGTATAGTAAATTCTGTTCCTTGATTTTGTCTGGGTCCACAAATTGAATATTGAATAGAAAGTTCTCGATGCTGACGATTTGCGCGCCAGTAGCTATAACCAGCTCTTCCTCAGTGCTATTGGCTCATCATACTCAAACAGCAACTCTCAACTCTCAATACTTCGAAAGATATGCCATGAAATGTGAGTGTTCGCTAAGTATTGTCCATGAGTGTATGCATCGACGTAACTTTTTTGCATTTCGAGTGTTTGTGCATGATATTTTCTTTAAAAACGTGTTCTCCAACTCAGCTATTTCTTCCGAATTCAATCGACTTGGTCTCATTCGTTCAAACAAGAATGCTACAGTTCGATCGAATTACAATTTACAGGTTGGCCACATTGATTGCAGATTAACAAACCACTTTGAATGAAATAGATTCCAGGTGTACTTCGACGTTCGAAGAAATTAAAACTTCGTAACCACATTGTTAGCTGGTTTGGCCACTTTGAACTGGCTGTGGTGTACTGCTCTTTATGGAAAAGGGATGCAAATTTTTGAGTGAAAATCATTTGCAATCTGCCATTTTATGAACCTGACAGGTGCTAGATAATATACTCTGATGATTGTATTTGTTTCTATGGTCATAAAACCCTGGACAGTGTTTTCTCTCCTTTCCATCTAAGAATTTCATCATTTAAGGTAACGCATCGAAATCCCGAACATTTTTGCCGAAACTTGACCTCTGTTTTTTACTTCGTCTCCTGAATAAACTATGTTGTTGCAGGAAAAACGGAAAGTACCCCACGAAAATATAATTTAACGTCGATTTTGGTGTCACTTTGTGTAGCATTTGACGACTTTTGAGATTTGTACTCAAATTATAATCTCTCCAGTCAAGTGCACATGAAAACTTCAAGGTTTCACAAATCGCGGACACTTCGAAGTCTTGAGTTCAGTATGTGAACAAAATAATTTACAAAAAAGAGACCAAAATATAATCACTGTATATAAATTCAAGGTGCCGACAAAAGTCGTTTCATTACAGACAAATATAATGACAGGATTCAAAAAAATATCGGATCACGTCTTTTGCTTTACTGGCTGGACCGAGGAGGCATGCAGAGCGCCGCGGGTGTGCCAATTCTGTTCTGTCGACACTCTCTTGCGCCCAGCTCTTTTCGGTGGCAAGGTCAGAACGACTTCCCTTGAATACTCCACTGTCTTCAACCAAACTTCAGAACCCAGCGGCCCCTCCACACAATTGGTCCTTGCAGCGGCTAAGTGACGCAGCATGCATGGAAGCGACAAAGGCCAAATACCACAGGTACGGAAACCGTTCACCACTGCTTGGTTAGTTTTCTTTACATCATCAAGCTGAGGAAAAACAGCGTTGAAGGGGTTCCGGCAATTGCAATGGCCGTCTCTCGAGGTAACAATATCGAGTTCATAGCTTGCAAACGTTCAGTAACCCCATAGGCAATTTTGCGCTTGAACGTTCGGAACAGGGCCACATCCAAAGGTTGCAATTGGTGCGTGGCGTTCTGTGGGAGTCGCACCAAGCAGATCCCGTATGCCTCACAGATGGAGACGCTGTTGACCGAAAGGTGAGATGAGCAGTTGTCCAACACAAGCACCGCTGGACGAGCGCCACGTTTGTGCAGCTTCCATTCACCAAAGCATTCTAACGAATCGTCAAATAGGTCGGAGTTCATGAAAGCTTTCGGCAACGCTGAGATCACTGCGTTCGGTACAGGGCAATTGTCCAGGACACCAGTCTGACACGATGCTCCAGGGAGAATAAACGCAGGAGGCACTGGGGTCCCATCGGCAGCTACCGCAGCGACGATCGTTAAATGGTAGAAGTTGTTGTGATCACTCTTCCAAACATTCTTTGAGCCACGGATTGCAACGACGGTTTTGTTCTTTCCCTTTGAATGAAGGCTGGTCTCATCAACGTTGTAGATGTCGCCGGCTGTACAAGTAAAACCGAGGCAAGCCTTCACGAGGTCAAAGAAGTATCTTCTGACACCCTCACGAGACACAGCGTTGCGTGGAATTGCTCAACTTCTGGTCCACCAGAGCTGACAGATCAGCATGCCGTTTTTCGAATCGAGCGTACCAGCCACGTCCAACGGAGCGCGGAACGCCGAACAGGTGCGACAGTATTTGATTCGCCTTGATGACGATTTCATAGCGCTCAACAGGCCAGCCAGCGCATTGCATTGCAGCGATCCACGACACCAAGTCTTGTTCCAACTGGTTTGGCATGACCAGTTTTAGTCCTTCTTTGCCGATCGTAATTGAACCAGTTGTAGTTTTCATTTTCATGTACTTATATATCGTTGTACGATTCAATGGCGAACTACGAGCTACGGCTTGAACACTCTCGCCTTGTTCGATGCGACTCAGCGCGCGATGTATGTCGTCGAGTGTTGGCGCCATTGACGAGAAAAACACGTTTTGGGCCATAACTTTGGCCATCAAATTGGCGGCAATCGATAGAGCAAATCAAAAGGAAGATTTTGAGCCTTATTTGAAGAGAATTAGTAAGAATTGACTAAGTTATGACCATTTTACAGGGATGGCACGTCGCGGTTTTTTACAATCGGGTTTTATTCGGTTTTATTAAAAAAACCCGATTATTTCTGCGGCGGCAAAATCTGGTTTTATTCCTTTCAAGGCTCAAATCACTAGAATTTGTTGATCTCGCCAAGAATAGGCCACAGCTCTCGCGCCGACGAGTCCTGCAACTCGACGCGTCGTTCCAGATTGCTGTCAAGCTCTTCAGCATGGCAACGTCGAGTGCCGCCCCAGAGCGAAACTGGTCCACCATGGGCTTCATTCATTCGAATTTGAGGAATCGTCTGAACCCGAAGAGCATTGACAAGCTCACGTATATCAAGAGCAATTTGCCGGCCTTCTACGATTACGCACAGCTGGACGAATCCGATGATTCTGATTGCAACAGCGAACCGGATTGGAAAGAATGAACGCGACATCGATGCTCGACCTGCGCAGAATAAAACCATTGTTTTTTTGCGCCAAAATCGGGTTTTATTGAATTAAACCAAAAACCCGATTGTTGCCCGAAATAAAAACGGGAATTTCTCATCCCTGCCATTTTTCGTTTTGGTGGTGGCGAATGATAATTTTATTGATCATTGTGATTATAATTGTGCTGAAATTGGTGAAGTCGCCCTGAAGTGGTGAATATTATCATAGCCAATAAAATTTGACCTGCTCCAAATAGAGACTCTTCATTGGATAAAACTCGTCTGTCCGCGATATTGATGCAGTTCGGGATTTCGATGCGTTACCGTACTACCTCTGTCCGAAAAAGATTGCAACAATTGAATATATTGAAGTTCATGAATGATTGCAACAATACTAATTTTAAAAAGTATCACATTGCAATACAGACAAATATGTATTCAAAGCAATTTGCTCAAGTCCAATAGCTGGGCCAATTCAACACAAGATTCCTCCTGAAGCTCGTCGCTAACAATGAGTTTTTCCAGCTGGGAGCTAAAATCACACATCTCCAGGGCTTCAGACACTTCTGCTGCCAGTTCCTCGAACTTCGCACTGACGTCAGTCTCATCCAACTGCTGGAGTCCTGCTTCAACGATGTCACGATCAACAGGGAGAACTTGTGGCAACAATCCACGTGTCAACAACTTTGCCTTGCCAGAGTGGGGGATCTTGTAGTTGTTGTTTCCTTGCGCACAGATGGCTTCGCGCATGCAAGTCTGTATGGTCAGAAAATTGTTGGTCAATGTTTGCATGTCCACATCAGCCCAAGCACGCTCCGTCGCGGCAATAATGTCGTCGATGCATCGCGACGTGTACTTCTCTTGCAAGGATTGAATCCCTCGGAAAAATCCAAGGTCCAAAACGTTGAAATCTGGAGGGTTGGGAGGTTGGAACTTGACTTCGATGGGCCAACTATCGCTACAACAGGCTGCAACAATTTCCGCATCACTTGGAGGTACATGGGGTCTTGCATTGCCCTGTTGAATGAAAATTGTCTTGCTGCATTCTGATGGCCATTTGGCTTTGATAGCGGGGATCACTTCTCCAAGAGCATGGCCTTGTACACCGGGCGGGTGACACTGACAGGTACAGTCTGCATTGCACCAGCAGGACGGTTCCGGCTCGACCTCGCCGCAGGAACTTGAGCTGTAAAGTGCCAGGTACCGATCATTCCGTCAAACCAAGAATTGGTATCTTCAATCCACCGTGGGCGGGCAACAGCAGACAGGAACATCACCTTGGTGATAAAGCGCTTGGACTTGCACGTGCGATGTGGCGGTTCCTCGCCAGGAGCAAGATAGTATGATCGTTTAACTTGCGTGGCGTAGAACCATTTCTCGTCCACATGAACATAGTTCATCATGTCGTCGAAAGCATATTCGTTTCCAGAGGTGGCGTGGATGTGTCCCATTGCCCAGCATGTACGAGCGATTTTGTTGGCGTCTGTTAGTGTTGGGCGCACGGAGCTTGTGTACTTCACAAATATGCCTCGTCGGTAATAAGCATGGAGGGTGGACCGCGGCATACCCATTGCTACGGCGATAGAACGAAAAGGTCGTTCGCGATGCTTTGGGTATTGCTTTCATCCGTTCGGCGACATTCTGGTGTTTGAGGTTCCGACCGCTGCGGCCTTTTATTCTCGATGACACGTCTAAGCATGGCCGCATCGTGTTGTTGAGATCGGCACATCCTCGTTTCCACACCCTTTGCACAGTACCTCTGTGAACTCCGAACTCTAGAGCGATTTTGTTGAGAGCTCCGTGAATGAGCTTCTTGTCGTCGACCAAGTGTGCCATTAGCTGCTGTATGATGGCTCGCCGATCTTTGTCGCTCAGGTTCTTTTTGGCGCGCATTGTTGAATCAAGGTCATCTCTGAGCACATCGTACGGATAATACCTGGATTATCGCTATCCCTACATCCGGATAATAGTTGGTTTGAAAAAACCAAAAGAAGCACTTCTTATACTACTCCGTCCGGGAAAACTGTCCGGTTGAACTTTGCGAAGTCGAGAA